CCTTCTTCACATTTGCTTATGCACCCACTTTGTCTTCAGCGATTGTGTCAGGAAGGTGAGCATCATGGAATGCCAGTTTAATAGAACAAAGTATTCTGGCATTAAGGGAATACTTGAGTGGAGGCCCAATGTCCATCTGCTACCTTAATACTAAACCTATATATATATATGCACATAGATCTATTTCCCCATCCTCATATATAAATATATTTACATATGTACATGCCTTTATTTAGACCTTTATAAATTCCCTTTGCCTCCTTTATTGGGATCTTAATACAGGTATCATATCGGTGCATAGTTGAATCACATCAAGCAGTATTGTACAATTACTACAATCAGTTTCAAAACACTCTCTTCCTTCTTGAACTCCTTGACATCAGTTCCAGGGTGGTTCTTGATCTTCACCAGGAAGTACTTCAAGCCTTCTTCACTTTCAGCAAGCAAGATTGTGTCATATCCGTGTCACAGGTGGTACCGAGCCTTTCTCCAGTCCTGACCAGCCATTCTTCATACAGTCCAGCTTCTCAGATTATTTGCTCAGCACACAGATTGAACAAGTGGTGAAAGGACCCAAACTTGACGCACACCAGGCAGTATCTCTATGTTCTATTCCAACATACTGCCTCTTGGTCTACGGATAGGGTCCACATGAGCATAGTGAACCGTTCTAGAATTCCCATTCCTTAAAATATTATCTATATAGCCAAACGTCTTTGCATAGTCAGTCAAACACAGGTAAACTTGTAGTATTCTCTGCTTTGGGCCAAGATTCATCTGCTATCAGCAGTAATCTCCCTTGTCCCACGTCCTCTTTGAAATCCAGCTTGAATTTCTGGTAGTTCTTTCTTGATGTACTACTGCAGCCATTTTTTTTTTCCACATAAGGAAGCATTTATTTGAGGTTTAACATGAAATCATACAAATAAAAATTGTATAAACACAAATCCACATCGAGTCAAAACACTGACAGCAAAGGGCAAAGTAAAAACAAAGAAAACTAATTGGCAGCTATATACAGTTGGACACAATTGTGTCTTGTACACTGTCTTTTACAAAATAGTCATCTTAGTTCAACAGAAGGCCAATCTTCAACGTCGTCCTGCAAGATGAGTTGCTTTAGCATCCCCTCCTGTTTTCTCCAATGTCCTCCTCTAGCATGGCTGGTAATTGTTTGGGTGATTGCCTCCCCCTCGAGATGCCTTGCCGTATGTGCTCTGTTGGCCACTGTAGTCTGCATATCCCTGTCCAAATCCATAGTTATATCCAGTATAATCATATCCCCCATAGCCACTATACTGCAACCATTTTTAAATGACCTTCAGCATGATTTCTGCCTACACAGGAAATCAATGATATTGCTTGATAATTTCCACATTCTGAGGAGTCATCTTTACTAGATCAGCTTTCAAATGAGAAGGCAATGCTATAGACCAAGATCCACCAGTAATTAGAACTGTAGAGTGTATGAAGTATGAATATGTGCGTACGAATTCATCAAAACACACAAGATTTTTGCCATATACTATTAAGTTATAGCTCAAAAATTTAAAAAGGAACCACCAGAGAACCTGGAAAATTATGATTCTGATTATCAAAATCAAAACGTTTAACAGAAGGACTGAAAGATAAATGGAAAGAAGCCTCCCCAAAGGCAGGGCAAACAGAAATACAGAGGACGATGAATCTTTGCGTTTCTAGGTAACATGATTGTAATAGGCATTCCAGTTAGTAAATAAGCCGGGAACAAGCTCTTGTAGGTGATACAAGAAACTGGAGGTGACTGACATGGCATTTTATATCTGATGTCTCCACTAGAACATTGCTAAATACTCCTCAACAGTTTGTCAGTGACAGAACAAGCAGACAAAATCCTTTGGGGGTGCAATAGAACAACGCCAAGCATCATCAGCCATTTCGGACCTTATCTTTTGCACCTGTTGAGAATGTGCCCTAAGGTAAAACTTCTAGAAAGGAGGAGGATGCGCACTTTGTGGAGATAAGCATTATGGTTGTTTACTACATCGCAAAACAGCTGGGACGGCCTAGTGAAAGGAGGAGAAGCAAGGACGTGACCTTGTCTTGTGCACGGGAGGCGGGTGGGGTGGGCAGTGGAAGCACACATGCTTTGGGCGCGTCACCGGAGCCCCTGGAAAAGGCATTATGCGCGGTCAAGCGGAAAGTCAGGGGAGAAGAGGGAAGCCCTCGAGGAGATGGAGTGACCGGGGACTGCCACGGTGGCTCAAGCACCATTGTGAGCAGCGGGCAGTGTTGCGTGGTCTTGTGCATAGGGTCGGACGGACTGGATGCCGCCTTAGCAGCAGAAATACTACGTCCGCCCAACTTGGAGCGAACGCGATCAGTGCAGCGGGCCAACCGGAGGCGGCTGGCGTCGGCTGCAGCAGCGAGAGCGACGGGAAACTAAGGGTACCTGGGCGGGGCGGTCGGGCGGGCGGCGGAGACGCCGCAGGAAGCTCCCCGGAGACACAGAACGGAAAGTTCGGCGGACCCTCCCGCGGC